CAGCTCCTATCTTATGATATCAGAAGGCTCCACCCTGTAAGTATGGCTGCCAGCTCCAGGTTGGGAAATACCTGGAGATTTTAGAGATGGAGCCTGAGGACGATGGGGTTTGGGGAGGGGAGGGACTTCAATGGCATACAGTCCACCTTCCAAAGTGGCCAGGAGATCTCCAGCTACCACTTTGAGATTGGCAACCCTACCTATAACTCTTGCAATTTGAAATGCTGCAGACCTGGCAACTTTCATGATACATTCTAAAAATGTTTTAACTCTAGAATATTGAAAACCATCTTGATAACTAGTTTGCTTAGAATATTTATATCCCACTTTCTCAGTCAAACAAATGTGCTTCTGAAGGGTTGATTTGCGGTTGCGGTGGTAGGGGAATGGATAAGGTTGTCAGACCCCACCCCCCCATGGAGGCATTTGCAGGGGAAAGACAGCAAGCGGTAAGGGTGAATTATGACTCTGCTTCCTCTGCTATTTCTTAGGGTTACCAGCTCTGGATTAGTAAAATCCTGGAGATTTGGTGACAGAGCCTGGAGAGGGATTTCAGGTGTTAGTCAAACTGCTTTATCTACAGCAGATGGCGAACTAAATTTAATATGGGTTCCTGCCAAAGTTTACGGAAGTCCAAACCACCCCAAGGATGTCCCAGTGAAAGAATCAAGATTGGTGAATTCAAAGCAAATTGTCTTTTACTGAATAATATCAAAATTGCATACACACAAGACAGAATCTCACACACATACAATCAAGTTCTTTAGGAGTACAGAAATAGAAAAATAGTTCCTTTTTACTTAGGAGGTAGGTAGGTATCGTTCATACTTATCTGTTCCTGAAGCCTTGTCTGTTGCAATGAAGAATGAGGGATAAGGAAAATAGTACCTAGGGGCATTTCTAAGTCACACTGCCAGAACCAGTCGGCAAGTATGGATCTCCTTGGCTGCGCACACCAAGAGATCAAGAATAGACAAAGGGTTGTTGGATAGCAAGCTGGACTTTAGGGGATAAAAGCAGACAGAGGATGATGAAGGGTTTGCGGCTAGCAAAGACCCAACACATGGTCTTCACCTTTTATACGTGAATCTTTGGGGTGTGTGGCAACCTTGCCATCCTGCAATCCATCCACCTGTTAGTCCGTCCCATGACTACAACCATTGGTGCGTGTAGTAAGGGCGTCTACTTTAGGGGTTTGGCCAATATTTGAAACTCTAAACTCTAACTCAGGGACAAGCCATCTGGTCAGGTGTGAAGTCTTGGCATCAGGACCCTCCTTGATGTGCAGATAGATCTCGGCTTTCCCAGGAAATCAAAGCAACATCTGCCAGGAAATGGCAATTCAGATGTAGATCAGATCCGTGTATTGCGTGACATCAAGTCCTCTAATAATGGGGGATTGCTTGTCTTTAAGCTGTGGTTTCTGCTAACAATGGCAAAATGTGCTTCTCTTCCCCTAAGGCTAGGAGCTGTATGTGTTTGCAAGCTTCATTAACATGAAATGCAGGCAGGTACCTTCTATGTGAAACCTCTCACAACAGGTGATTCAAGCAGCTTTCCCTTAAGCCTATGGGTATATTTGTATGCACAGTTCATGTGGTGTGTGTGTCAGCAGATATAACTCCATAAAAAGCAAATATCAGTCTCTCTCTCAACACAGGGTATAATCCCATAGAGTCCAGCCTCCGAAGCAGCCATTTTATTCAGGGGAACTTATCTCTACATTCTGGAAATCAGTTGTAATTCCAAGAGGTCTCCAGGCCCCACCAGGCGGTTGGCAACCCTATTCCTTCACAGCTCAGACTGCCCTTCCTGAAGTATGTTTGCCTAGAAAGAACAGCCATCGGATTTTTATTGCACACAAAGTAGTGTGTAGTTCTACTTTTAGCTTCACAATGCCTAAATCTACAAATTCATGCCATGTGGCATTTTGAGACTGACAGGACTGAACGCAGATACAGTGGCTGGGTGTGTATGAGAGAGAGTGGTGTAGTTTCTGGTCTTTTGCTATTGCTTCTAGTCAAATAATTGGCGACATGTAGGATTACAAAATGGCAGCCCTTACCAATTTGTATATTAGGGCTTCTTTCTTGTTAGCATAGATGCCATCTAGTATTTGCTTGCTTATCAGTAACATAAAAGACACTTTTTCTGGGTCTCTAATGAACAAGCTAATAATGCCTTTAAATTTTTTCTTATTCCCTGCTGTGTTTAAATGATTCATATGTAGCACTCTGAAGTTTAGACTTAATATTTTATAAACTGCTCCAGGATAGTTTCTCTAACCACCCCCCTCAGTTAAGAACAAATGTGTGGAGAGCTACCTGGTGGGGCAGAAAGAGATGCCTTCTGTTTTCTAACTGGGGGGAGGGGACGTAGCTAAAGAGATTGTGGCCAACTAGAACTCAATCCCTAATTCTAAACTCTTTTAGATTAGTGTTTTTCAAGGAGGCATAACAATGTTCTGTTTAGCTGTGCTATTTTTACACAGCAGTGTTGTTGAGTAACTGCTGGTGATTTTTATGAGGAACATAATTTGTACTTTCTAAATCTAGCTAATGTTTAGAAGGCATTCAGTGTGAATGAATCACTAACTGTCTCAAATTTGTGTGGTAGATTCTACAGTAGATTTGGAACACAGTGTTCAGTTATTAATACAGACATTACTTGAAACCCAAAGGGACACATTTAGAATATTACAGTGCTGAAGTTTAACAATCATTTAACATTATTTTCATGTTACTAGCTAATGGTTGATTCAAGCACCAAGAATGGGACTGTATGTAATAGTTGCTTCAAATGCCATGATCTGGAGAGGGGAGTGGCAGTGGTATTTTCCTTTTGAAAGTGAGTTCTAAAACAGTTTGGAGGCACTGGGGGTAACTTCTATTTAAAAAAATACTTTGGGAGAAAAGCATAAATATAGTGTACTTTCTCAGCTCCAGCCTTCTAGGTTTCTTCTCCTGGCTCCTAATCTCTTGCTTCCCACCTCACCCCTTTATCAGTTTGGTTAATCATAAAATGCAGCCTTTTTAATGGTATTTTAAGATGACAGCGTTTTTGGCTATGCTGTAATACATTTCCTACATAGGTTAAGAAAGGAGATGCTTAGACTTCTGTGCTTCCTAAATGCAATCAGGTACACCATCACAGATCACTCTACCGGATACCCTGTGCAAAGAGAATGAAAGAAGGGATGAAAATGTCTGTTGGGATCAAACAAGTTCATACAGAATATGTCAGTCAATGACTATTAGTTATGATAATTAAATTGAATAGCTGTGTTAGACAGGATACCTCCAAGTTCCAGATGTGACACCAAACAACAAGGGTATCTTCATGCCCTGCTTGTAAACTTTCAGGGATATCTAGCCGGAAACTGTTAGAAATCAGATTGCTCAGTGAAGTTATGGACTTTGGTCTGAATTTGATTTGATGATCTAGTACAGCAATTCTTTTATGTTCCTAAAAGCCATCTTCAGAAACTGTACTTCTGCAGGCAGCCTGCTATAGGTTACATTATTGACTAGCAGAAAATGACAGGGAACAGAGACCACAGTCCTGGTCTAGCAACACCAATTGCAGCAGTCCTGAGCAGGAAGGTGCTCCAAAAATTGGTAAAATGTTTCATGAAGGTTATTGTTAAGTAAAATGTACTCCAGACTTCCTAAATTATTTAATTGGCAAAGTAGTAATATAGTAACATAGCAGGCCTTAAGGGAGATATGCCAATTTTGGCATGTGGTAGCACCTGGCCCAGTACTGGCTCTACTAGAACCTTCTGTTGTGGCATCTGGGTGCAGTTTGAGTGCTTAGGACTGCCAATTACTGACAACCACCTCTCCTCCCCCCAAAATTCTTGGGCATCTAAGTGGGCAGTTAGTAAGCATAGTTGATTCTGCCACACTACTATTGTGATCCGTGAAAGCAAGACTGATATGCTCCAAAGGTGAGGTTGCAGTTGTATTACTCAAACGCTGTAGTAGGTGACACAACATATGTAGGCTTCTTTCTCTATTTGAAAGCATGGGGACTCCTCTCAAAACAGAACTAGTCACCAGCCCAAAAGAACTTGTTTGAAACAAACTCTGAGGAGCATAGCTAGCTTGACACAGCATCTATGTTCTGGCCTTTCTATGCTGTGGCTGTAGCAGGCAGTGTGGTTTATCATATGACTCTTCCAGATTGTTGGAATCTTGGATTTGGAAATTCTCAATGCAGTTTAGAAGAACCAACAGACGAACAGTGGTATCCATCACAAAAAAAGTCGGAGGGAAGAAACCATGAGGATGTTGTTTCAATCCAGTTACAAGTTGTAACTGCAAGACTGCCTTCCCAGGTGTTCATTCTTTCGGCTGGTTTTGTACCTAAAGGTCATTGACTTTTGAGGTGCGGTGTGGTGGGACTCAAGAAGAACTAGGGTCCAAAGTGTAATGAAGTCTGCAGTTGTTCTTAGGACATGCATGAATTCATTGTTCACTGGAGTCATACAGTGACTATATGATTCTGCTTCTGGCCAAGTATTATACATTCTTTTATTACAAAATGAGTGTTTGCTATTTTCAACTTTTATTTTTTTCATATCTCTCAGATGTTAAAAGCTAAGATGTATGTGCTCAAGTAGCATAGGGAACAGTAGCTCACAACCTTCCCTCTGTAATATTGGATATATTAACAATTTAAATGGTAGAAACCAACATAATGTATCATTTTAAATTTAATAAACCTGTCAAATAATATGCTGTGAGCTGTTGTAAATGTTGTAAAAGCAGTAACATAAATTTGGGGTTGCAAAGTAAATATTATATATATTTCAATGTTCCCCAACATTTTTGGTTTTGGGGAGAAACTGCTAAAAAAAATCTTGTTTCCCTGCCATGGGTTCAAAATTTCTGGACATCATGAATATGTACTTAGATTTATGAATACCTCTAGAGAAGTGAAATGTTCAGCAAACATGTTTTGCTTAAGAAAAATTAACAGCTGTACTTCCGTTTTAGGTCTCAGTCAGTGGTGGAGCCTGGGATGCTGAAACATGAAGATCAGAATGAAAACGAGAACACCCAGCCACTGCTGGCGCTAGACTGAGTTTGAATTCACCAAGACATGCCAATGCATCACCAGACTTCAATAGTGCCAGAAATCTAGGAAGCAAGAGACAGGTTTCACACATATTAATACACATTCAGCTTGAAGTCAGGTTCTCCATCTTTGCTGAGCAAGTAATGATCATCACCAGCCATCTGTCTGTGTGGCCAAAGCCAAAGGGGACATTCCTTATGGCCCAGAATACTAAGCTAGAGAGAAGAGTTTGATTGTAAAACAGAGAATGTTTTTTTCCCTTCCTTTTATGATGTATAAATATGAACTGAGACTGAAACAAGAGGGACTACTTTCTATGTTCACACACTCAAAGATGTATCAGCTGAGATTATCTAAGGATGCACTCCGGTTTTGTTAAAATAAAATTTAGACCAAGTAACAGTTGTTAAAGTAAAGGTGTCTTGAGTTTAAATACTTTAGTAACAGACTTAATGCTTGCAGACCAGACAGAATGCCTCTAAACCCTTAAGAGCCCCATCTTTCTTTCTTTTTTTGTAAAAATTGCTAAGCAATCACCAGCAGAAAAATTGTTCAGCTCTGCAGTAAGTGATCTCGTCACCCCCAGCTACTTGCAGGGACCGTTTATTTCAGCCCCCTGGAAAAAAAAAATTCCTAACTTGTGAAAGTCCCTATAAACCTGTCAGCTCAGTGTAATGAGCTGAGTGGGAAACAGACACAGGCAATTTGAAAAGCAATTATTTAATCTTAACAATGTGGGTTTCTTTTTTTCCACAGGCAGTGGCAGTATGTGGGGTAGATGTGGTGGCTGAGAAAGAGGGAAAGGAAGTGTCTGAACTCAATGGAAATGCTTATTAGTGATTAATGTTCCACTTCAGGTCCTTTCATTCAGGTCACTCCTGCAAATGAAAGCTCAGCAGAGCTGTTTAACCATCTTCCCTCCTGCAATCAGTTAAAAGTGTAGCCAGAGGGCCTGGCTGACTGCAGATATAGGCTATGCTCAATAATGGAAAGGGGGAAAACTTAGGATGAATTATTCAATATGCCTCCATTAGAAGGAAACTATGGAAAAACAGAAAAATGTGGAACTGAAATGCCAAAGATCAATTTGCTTTTCTTATCTTTGCTCTACTTGCAAAAAACAAATCCCATCCCTACATCAAAATTAAAATAGATTTTAAAAATTCCACTGTTATGAAGGGTTGGGGGTTTTTTTGGCTGTGGCTTTATTTTCTGCGATCGCTGTAAATCTTTTAAAACTGTAAGTAACGGCCATTAGCAATCTGATACAAAGCACCACATTTAAGCCATATGCCAGAGAGGGATCGCTCACTGTCTTAAGGATGATGGTGTAACTCAGTGACATCACACATTTGGGTCTGGTCCTTGGTAACTAATGAAAGTATGACGTGTTCCTTCTAACTGCTATCATGTTTTCCTCTTATGTGTATCTTTCAGGAACTGCTTTGTCTATTATGTAGAGCTGTTGCTTATGCAGACTTCTGCAATTTGATTTCTCTTGGAAACGTATTGCTCTTGTAAAATCAGTGATACTCAACTGAAAAATCAAGCAATTTATCTCCCCCCCCCACGAAATGATAGAGACCCTTACCTAGACAACAGCCTTAGGCATCACTTAGAGTACTTCTTAGCTCTTCTTCTGCTGTTGATGTACATGAACAAAAAAAAGGCAGTTGAAAATGTGTGCTTGTAAGCAGGTTTGTGAATTAACTGTTGCCTATGGAGGAAGGTTGATGTACAATTGCATTTCAACTTTTGCCACTTGACAGTATATGTGTAATTTTGGATTGAGCTGGCTATCTAGTTGCTTATGTTGGCCATAACCAAATTTGCCTGCTGATCTGCCTTTTGCCATAGGGTCCAACAACTAAAACAACCTATTATTCATAACACAGAAAATCAGTTTGCACCAATGCCCCTTTCCAAGAAATGTATATTGCATTTAACAACTACTACCTGGGGCTTTATATCCTCACAAAACAATACCTAGATGCATTGTAAAATCTTGAAGAAAAGGTTGTAAGTATTAACATTTTAGGTAAGGATCTGTAAAATTTATTTCCAGAGCTCAAGCTTATTCAAAAGCTGTGTGGAAACATAATTATGGCCATCTAAGTTAGTTAAAATTTTCAGCTCATATAATAAACCTGAAATTAGAGAAAAATAAATAGCACTTCAGTCTTTGGGGATAAAGATTACAATCCATATAGAGTCACAGTGTAAAAGGGAAATTCTTTGAGAATCCTGCTGCAGCAGAGGTTTGACCTCAAATAGTGCTTGAGGTTCCTTCCAGCTGTATAATTAAAGGGACTTGTCACTTTTCAACATACTTCTTACATTAGCACTTTGAGTACAGAACTGTGAGAACTATATGGAGCCTACATGGGAAAGTCAAGGTCAAGGCATGTAAAATATTTTATATTTGTTTGCAAAGTTTTATATATGTGTCTTATTTTATCAGCTTTTATCAGCTATAGATCATAGAGAGTAGCACTTTGATTCCTATTACCACTGCAAACCCTGGAAAAAATTTCAATGATGAAATTGTTATCGCAAAATAATAATCCACACCGGTTCATTGAAGGCACTTACGTTTAATGCACAACAGTACAATATACCATGACATATAGTGGGCAACAATATATTTGTATGTGAACACTTGGGGAGAAGACAGGTTCATTCTTTTTGCCAGTCACATAATCCTGGTACTTGCTTACAGGCAAAATTGAGAGAAAGCAATGATGAAGAAAGCCCAAATCTTCAGTGCTACTGAAAAAAACCATAGGCTTTGTTTCCTAAAATACAACTCAACATCCCTTTCCACTTTTCATTTTATGTCTTAAACTTGCACTTTGAAAAGTTTAAAGAAACTGTTTAGAAACATTCTTCAAATGACTTCTTTCCATTCACACAAATTAAAAAGCCCCTGGATCCAATCTTTATAAAATACTGACTATATTATGTCATTAGAAAATACTATTTAGGCAAGCTGAGACCAAACAGCTTTCCTTGGCTTAAGAGTATCTCAGTAGTTTACTTCTAAACATTTCAAATATACAGCTCTACAAAATTTATCCAACATACATTGCTATAATGCATTAAATCTGATCATATGTTTGGGTCATGAACCGTGAATTACTCCCAAGCACATGTCGTACTGTTGGCCACATTCATGGCAGGGGTCCCATCGTGGTGCCCGCTGACACCTTTTCTCATGTCCATCAAGTGTTTTTAAGAAGTGGGTGAGGCCAAATAGGGCTCCCCCCCCCCAGCAAGGCTTCTGACTGGCTGTGCAGACTTTTAAAAACATTGCTTTGGTGGCGGCTGCCATCACAGGACAGGGATCTTCACTGTGTGACTTAAGGTGAGCTCTGCAGTTATTTTGTGGCTGGCGCCACCTCCCACAGCATCCATTTTGTAGCAGCCATGTTTTGCCTGCACCCAACCCACCACACTGTGTCAAAATTCCAAAGGTGCCTGCAGGCTCCTAGAGACTGGGGACTGCTGATTTAGAGAATCTAGCCAAAGGCTTGCTGATCTTAGTCACAAGACAATCATCTCATTTCACTAATCCAAAAAGGAAATAAAATACAGAGGGAACTGATAGCAGCAATGGTTGGTGTGGACAGTGCTTGGCACTCACAGTGAATTCAAACAGAAAATATAGATCTAACTAACTTCTACTGAATAAGAATTAAAATGTCAGTCCTCTCTTACTGTTTTAGACAGATGAGCTAGTGTGGTTGAGATTGCAGCAACCATGCCACAACAATATGGTTTACTTTCTTAACCATGGGTCCCTGGAACAAGGAAAACTGGCCGGAGATGAGAACATAAAGGTGGTACAACAACACTGGAAGCATATGGCTCCAAGTGTGATTCCTTCCCCACAAACCATTTTTCCACTGTAGAAGGCACACCTACCAAAACAGAATCTGTCTCACTGTAACTGCCCCCAACTTAAGGTGTTTACTTTGCCATGCAGAGTGTCTCCCAAAATTAATGTAGCATCAGCCTCTGAAAATGTGGAAGAACACAGATGTTTCATCACAATGCAGGAAAGAAAAGGGACAATGGCATATCCGAAGAGGGTACGTGCAACTCCCATTTAAGTGAAGGGTTGTGTCTTTTGTTTTTATTTGTTTTTTTAATGGATGCCCAGCAAACTTGGAGGCAGAAGCTACATACAGTTGGAAAACTCAATGCACTTAAGGCTTTAAGTATCTTTCAGTAGCAGAAATAAACACCCTTAAACATGAATGGAACATGGGCAAAAGATTTTCTTCCCAGTTGGAAGAAGAAAGCCATACATGGGGAAACAAAGCAGTGGTCAGATAAGGCTTTGTTGTAGCTAAATGGCTATGAAGTGTTGTTCTGGGAAAACAAAGTAAAAAAATGTTAAGAACAAAGTAGTTTATAAAGAGCAAAAACATATCCATACATTTGTGGTAGAAAAATACAATTATCTATTGAAAATACAAAATAGATCCACCCACTCACATTATCTACAGCTTACACAAAATGTATCAAAGTAGATCCAAATGAGTTACTATCCACTGTGACAAATTTCCAGATTGCCTGCACGTAAGTGCTTATGAGTGACCTTTCTAGGACGGATATGTAGACTGTAATGTAGGATGCAATCCACCAAGTATTCCTGCAGCACAAGCTTCCTTTAAAGAAACAGAAATTGCACATTAACAGGCCCTGGAAGATGTCATCCCTTGCATCTGCACATAAGTTTTAGTAGTTGAGTGCCAAGTACAACAAGTGTATGCCAAAGCACTGTTACACATAATACAAGCACAACAAAACACTGGCACAGGCAGTTCTTTGGCTGATACAGTTTAAGGTATCTGTTCTTGCAGCATGATTACAGAGCTATCAGATCAGTGCTGTAAAATGATTTAATACACAGGGTGGTTTGCTTTGAAGCCTTCCTATAGTCCAGTCTTTATAAGGATAGCATTTCCCAATGCAAAATATAGACCTCAAAGGAGAAAGCA